AGGTCAGGTGCGTGATGGACTTCAGCTGGCGTTGCCTTCAGGTCAGGTAGGTGATGGAGCTCAGCAGGGGTTAGTCTTAGGACAGATGCCTGATCGTCTTAACAGGTTAGTAGTGGACCCGTCAAGGACGAGTATCCGACGTCAAACAGATGCTCCAGGAGCCGAGACTCAAGGGCACTCACCTAAGGTCCAGAAGGTTACTGTTATGATAGACGGAGTTGCTAGAGAGGGTATAGTCGACTCTGCTGGAGCCATACAAGTCACGCATAAAGGGCCAGAGTATTTCTCGATTGCCTCAGAGGAGCCTGATCAGGGGTTGACGGGCAACCTTAGTGGAGCTACGGTCCCACCCCTTCCGTCCTTTGGGCGACAAGTGGTCCATGATGAAGGCAGCCCCTTTAATCCAAGGGCCAGGACTCCTTTTCAGCCAGTCGCACCTCCTCCTCCTCCAAGTGGTACTGGTTATGAAGGGGGTTCCAATGATCCGGGATGGGTTCCTCCACGACCCACAGGTTCGCCTCCGAGGACTCGATCACAAAGTCCTGTCACGCCTAGACGGAGACCTGCTCTAGCGAGGTTAGCGCCTTCACCAGCTACACCAGGTGGCACCAAGGTTCCTGCAGGGCCACCACCTCAGTCTCCTCCCAGCGTAGAACAAGTTAGCTCAAGTGTAAGCGAAAACCCCAGGGACTTCATCCCTGGAGATCGTACAATGTGGGAGCTGCCGAAGTTGGGACCTCCAACAGAAGCCAACCCGGCGTTGCGATGTGCAGATTGGCTACATCGTATCCAACCTTCATTACACGACTTAGCACCGAGAGCTTTTGTGTGGTGGGGACTGGTCCTAGCTGAGGCAAAGGCTGCCTACAGCAAATGGGCAGCAGCTGTTCCTCTTGAAAGGATTGCGATTCAGGGGCAGCCGTCCGCAGAGCTCAAGAGTGAAAAGTACTTGAGGCTCGAGTCAAGGGCATTGGCCATGCTCGGCAAGGCTGTACCCCAAGCCATCTTCGATCACGCGCTGAGCATCCGAAACACCACGTGCACGGGGCTGATTTTTCTGGTCCTTAAGGCGTTTCAGCCGGGGGGTCTTCATGAACGCACTGAGCTGCTCAGAGGCCTGACGTCTCTAGGCGAGTGCCAAGGGGCCAAGCAAGGAGTCGAGTCTTTACACATGTGGTTTCGGCATTTGGAACGGGCAAGAGGTATGAGCGTCGCTGTTCCAGATTGCACACTGCTGCTTGATGCGCTTGATTCGATGTCTCGGGGAATCTTGGAAAGACACCCCGCCTTGCTGTTCAGAATGAACACCTCACGGATGGCATTGCAGCTGGACACCGTGCCAACGTTGGTTGCTGTGGAACAGTTCGCAAGGTCACTGATGGCAGAGCTGGAAGTGCTTGCAGTGAGTGGGTCAGATGGGGTCACCAACAAGAAGCAAAAGGTGGCCGCAATTGCTCCTTCTGCAGCACCACCCGCAAAGGGATCCGGCAAAGCGAACTCGGCGGCATCAGGCGGGGAGGCGTCCTCACGGAAGGGTCAGGGGCGAAGCAAGGTTCCATGCCATGGCTGGATTACCGATTCAGGGTGTAGATTTGGTAAGAACTGCCAGTTCAGTCACGATGCTGATAGGCCCCAGAAATGCTGGGTATGCGGGGGATCACACCAAAAACTGGAATGCACCGCTCCTGGAGGTGGCAAAGGGCCTCCTGCTGAGGGCAAGGCAAAGGCAAAGGCCCAGACCCTAAACCCCCCTAAGGAGAAAAGTAAGCCTGACCCCAAGAGCACCACCAAAGCACCACCCGCAAAGGCCGATGCTGCCAGGTCGAGTACAGACACAGCTGCGGCAATCAAAGAGGCAACTCAACTCCTTCAGAGTATGAGATTGGCAAAGCTCAATGTCAAGGCGGTTACGCAGCTTAAGGACTTAGGGGAAGGGCGGCGGCGTCGCGGCCTCATAGACGGGGGAGCAACAGCGTGTTTGCGGACAGCACGAGGTAACGAACGAGCCTTGCCTACGCTGAAAGTAGAGCTGGCATGCGGATCATGTGACCTGCACGTCAACTCAGCAGGTACGTTGCTCAGCGCTCATCCCGTCACTCCAATTGTGTCAGTGGCAGCGCTGTTGGAACTGGGATACAAGATAAACTGGACGAAGGAGAACTGCCAGGTCAGTCATCCAAGGCGTGGCCAGCTGCAGGTCGATGCAAGCTCAGGGTGTCCAGAGATTGAGTTTGAAGTTGCACTCCAGCTTATCTCTGAGTACGAAGAACATGTGAAAGATAAGGAAGTGCATGAGGCTAGAGTAAGATGTCTGTTGCTGGATATGAGCTCTGCAACTGAAGAGGATCTCATGGCCTCAGTGTGGGGAGGTGGTGTTGAAGCAGCTGCAGCAATCAGGTTACTAGCCGCTAGGTTGTTCCCCTTAGTTCCCACGGAGCTCACAAAACAGATTCCTCCAACCCTTCAAACAGCTTCTCTTGAAAGCGGGTGGAATAGACGAACTCGCAGGCGAGCAGAACGAGCAGAAGGGGTAGTGGTTCACTTTAGTGAGTTGGGGTCCCGCAAAGCCTTCCAGGATGTGGCTGACCGATGTGGGTGGGCACTCTTGCACGTGGACACCGCCGGAGCAGTGTGGCCTGAAGCCTCTTACAGCTACTTGATGGGTCTAGCCCAGAAAGGTCACATTCGTGCTGTCCTTGGAAGTCCTCCCTTTCGCTCTTTTTCGGGATTCCAATATGTGAGCCAAGAAGGAGATGAGTCTGAGAAAGGGAGCAAGGATTGGGGCATAAGAAAAAGGGGAAGCAGTCTAGGATGTCTGGAGGGCTTGGAGCTTTCAGGCCGCGAGGTAGCAGCACGACAATGTGACGATCGGTTTGTGCTCAGAGCTCTGCTGCTGTATGGTGTAGCGGCCAAAGTAAACTCAAGGATTAGTGTTGCTGTGCCCGCCTTCGCTCTGGAGCAACCAGAGGATCAACCGGATGAGGGGGTTCCCTCGTTGTGGGCCACTCCCGAGTGGCTAAGCTTTGCATCTGAGTTCGGAATGGATCAAGTGTCTTTTGATCAAGGTCCCCTCCTTCATGCAAACAGGCGACCCACTACGTTGGCATCGAATATGATTTGCGCGCCGTGCCTTGCAGACTGCAGAGGGCAGGGATTAGAGTCAGTTCAAGGAA